AGATGCAGGGGGTGAGAGGATTCACCAGAGACAGAGTGAGGAATAGAACAGGCAGACTGACTGAAATACACTGCTAAGGGGGAGCAGCGAGCAAGACAGGAGAGGACTGCTTCGCCATGTAGGTTGCTCCCTGGCCTGTGGGGATCGAACTCGTGCTGCAGAGGCTGCCACCAGGGAAGCCCACATATTCTTTTTAATACTAAATAAAATTTGCATTTAGTGGGGCCCATCAAGTTAAAGATGACATGCAATTGATGCTGTAAGAAACTTATGCAATGGGGAGAACATTTAGAAAGTGGAAGTTTAGTGGATGTTCAGGAATGTTTCCATCATTATATATTTGCTAACAACAATGTAGATGTTTGTGTCACCTATAAAAACTCATTTTCTTACACTCTTTTTGGAGAAGTAGAATCAGATATCTTTAGCTTGCTTAAAAATATTCTGAGTAAAGAGTTTGAGTTAATATTGATATGTTAGTGTCTGTATTTGCCATTGTGTTTGTCTTTCCTTTGATTCTATTTATTTATTCTTTTAATAACTTTTTTTTTTTTTGGCCTTCTTTCGATGTTATTTGTCCCTCTGAGGTTCTGGCTTTAGGATTCCTTGTAGTATTTTTTGGATGGAATATTACTCAGCATTCAAAAAAGATAAACACATGCAATTTGCAGCAACATGGATGGCGCTGGAAGGGATCATGCTCAGCGAAATAAGCCAGAAAGATAAAGAAAAATACCGGATGGTCTCACTCATAGCAGGAATCTAGAAAACTTAAATAAGGAACCAGGAAAATGAATAACTATAAGAAAGTGAAAATCAAAATCAACAAAAAACTATGAACCAGAGACACTTTTTTGGGGGTGGGGGGTGGGAGGGGAGGGATTGGGGTCAGAATGGGGAGGTTGCAATTGTATGGGGAATATAAAAATAAAATTTATTATTTAAAAAAAAAAAGAGTTTGACTGTTTTTGCTCAATGTGTTAAACACATAAAGAGAACACTTCAGTGAGTTGCGAGGCTAGGTGATAGCTATGATAAAAATTTACTAGCCAAATTTAAAAATAAAATCTTTGTATATTGATGGAAGGAATTTTGAGAAGATTTTTGTCATTTATTTAGCACAACCGACAACACGTTAATTTTATTTGGAGCCAAATATCTTTGTGTAGCATCTTTTTCACCTATGACATCCACTCAAAGTGCTGAAATCAACTGAACTTAGAACTAAATCTCCAAATTGGTATATCACAAAAAAAATGTTTAAAAGCAATTGACATATTCAATAACACTTCTCCTTCTAAATATTATTTATAGTTAATATAAAGAGATTTTTGTACTATTAATAAAATAGATAATATATTACCTATATTTACTTCATCTTTGAATTTTTCTATTATTATATCTGTTTTATAATGTATATTCTATTCATAGAGTAGTTCAGGGATATCATTTATAACTAACTAAACAGACATATTTAAGAGTGGACATTCACACTGAAAAGAGATTACCGAGCTAGAAGATTATTAGAAAGCAAAAATCTAAATAGCCCAGAGTTGGCATTCGGTTATACAAGTTAAATGAGTAAATGAACCCCTTCCTCAAGATTGATCAATGTTGTCACATATTATAGGATTCCCTTTCTTAAGGCTGAATAGTATTTCATTGTGTGTGTGTGTGTGTGTGTGTGTGTGTATATATATATATATATATATATATATATATATATATATATGCCACAGGTTCTAGATCCATCATGCTAAGTGAAATAAGCCAGTCACAATAAAGACATATACTGCATGATTCCCCTTAATATGAGGTATCTATCTAAAAATCTCAAACTCATAGAACAAAGAATAAAATGGTGGTTGCCAGGAGCTGAGAAGAGAATAAGGAGAGAGTATAAAATTTCAGTTATGTAAGATGAATAAATTCTAGAGCTCTCCTAGACAATGCTGTTCCTATAGCTAACAATACTATATCACATGCTTAATAATATGTTAAGAAAGTAGTTCTCAGGTTCAGTGTTCTTACCAAGGAAATTTTTTAAATTTAAAATATATCTACCTCTCACAGCAAAGGAAGAGCTGAAAATAGTTAAGCTGGCCAGCTTCTGACAGGTTCTACTCAGGCACTCAGAATAAAGCATCCGAGAAGCATCATGTCTCTGCAAGTCTACTACAAGGGCCGCCTCCAGGATCAATTGTAATCACCCATATCCATATGTCCAGAATGGAATGGAATGGAATGGAATGGAATAGACAATCTCCCAAATTATCCCCAAATCACCGAGGAATTAGAGCTCCTCATTCTTGACTCATAAATTGAGTTAATGCAAAATAAAGAACCAATGATTTCTACTTTCAAGAAATTCATGTTTAACTATAGAACATGACAGGCCTCCTGGTGGTGCAAGGAGTTTAAGACGCAACCTATGAAGCTATCTGCAGCCACTGATGTGCTTGTTCAATCCCCAGCCAAGGAGCTGCCCACATGGTGCAGCAGATCTTTCCTGACTGGCCTGCTGCTCCCCACAGCAGTGTATTTCCGTCAATCTACCTGTTCTGTTCCCCACTCCGTCTCTGGTGAATCCTCTCACTGGCCCCCAACCCTGCACCTCTGGCCTGTACCCCAGTTCTTGTATGCATAAATAAATAAATCTTAAAAAAATAAAAGAACTTGTCTTCAAACTTCCACTTAGACTTGGATACAGAATAATGTTTGGAGAATTTAAGATAGTTGGCCGATAATAAAATTATTTTCAGCTTCTTCATCTTACCTCACACTTATCTTTTCCATACTCCCTATATCCTGCTGGAAATGGACAGCCTCGTGGATCAGCATGTGGAAAAGCACCAATCTACACCAAGCCAGCCACCCTCTCCACCTTGCACGTCAAGCAGTTCAAACTTCAATCACAGAAGAGGGTCGCAACAGATTCATTTTCAAAAGATCTTCCCCTATAGCTGAGCCTCAGTAAGGAGGGAGAAAAAAAATCGTAAATTCCTTTCCTTCCATGTCTTTCTCTGGATTGTGATCTACATGGAGAATAAACAAAAAAACAATAGGGGAGATCATTAAAGTGAGTTTAATAACTGCAACTATTATGGTCCCCCAAAATCTGTAAATATAAGGCAGAATGAGGTGAGCCATTACAGAACAATTGCACTTTTGTGAAGACCAGTGGTGAAGGCAGTGGGTTCAGAGACTCTTCATAACTTGGAAAATCCCCAGGAAATGGAGACCCCTCCAAACTGGGACTCACTAGAAGGCTGGGTCTAAGAGGGAACTGGCTGGTTTCTTGTATTTCCATTTCACTGTGCTCTCTGGCCCTAGAAGGTGGCTCCCTTGGGCACAGCACTCTGCCTCAGATCTCAGGCCCCTGGGTCCTGAGTGATGGGCTTTGAGAGCCTGCTGTGGAAAGAATCAAGGTCAAACCTAATCCTAGACACCAGCATCATGAGAAGTCGTTCAGGTAACATGGATACAAGAACCATAGTAAAGTTAAAAAGGTTTTCTTCCTCTCTCAGATCCCGTCTCCTGGAGAGCAAATCACTGACCTTGCTTGTTCTGCTGCAAAAACCGGCTGCAGGCACAGGGGGCTCCTTTGACCTTCTCTTTCAGCAGATCAAGTTGCAAAATCAAGACTAGTGCGGCTCCTTCAGTAATGACACTGCCTGACACGAGGCTGCAAGCTAAGGGGGATTCATTTGATAAGAAATAAAACTCTTCAGTACAGAAGGGTCTGAGCAAATCTTTATTGAAAATGTTTCCATCTTAACAGAAAAACCCAGAAAGAAACCCAGAGGGACTACTGCCAACAAGATCTTTCACCTCAAGATAAAGAAGAAAATAAAAGACACTAAATCTTCACAAGTTCGTAAAGTACTTTATTTCTTTGCTAGATTTTGCCAATATATGCTCCCTTACGGAGATTTGCTTCTGCATCCTCTCAAATCCTCCAGTAGTAAGCTGAAAAATCTCACATAGTGTTTTCAATAGGAAACTAGGGCTTTTCATCCAAAAATCCCTCTCCCTTGCCTACTTGCCACCACTTCCAACAAAGACAGAAATTTGCTACCCAATATTCTTTCTCAAACTCTTAAATCTGAAATTCAGGTCTGAATTAAAATAATTCATGATATTTAGATTGGGGTTTTGGGGAGATACGGGGTCAAAATGAACCCAAAGTAGAAAAAAAATCCAAAAAAAGGCAAATTTCTCCAGAGTTTTTATTTAAAATGGCAAAGAAAATGTGTCAAAGAAAACCATCATTTCCCAGAAGAGTCTTTTACTTCTACACAGATCCCATCAATGAATGTGTCTGTTTAATAGTGACAGTGGTGTCGTTAGCTGACAGATGTACCAGTTCCCAAAGCACACAGCTACTGTCGGGGTGAAGCCCCCCGAGACAACTGTGCTCAGGCCCCTACATGAAGCTGATGCTTCTCCAGCACAAAAATAAAGATTGCAGCGAAACTTAATGGCACTTTTGGCTGAGGCTCTCGAAGCCCCCATGAGGGAGGGTGCTGGGGTAAGAGACCCTGGTTCCACATCATGGCAGCTTACCGAGGCTTTTCAGAGACTAAGGAAGCACATGTGACAGCGCTAAGCAGCCGCTTGGTCCCCTGGGGCCCTCAGTGAGTGTCAGCCTATATACAGCACCAGAGGGTCTGGATGTGAAGGAGCAGCCAGACACATCCCTCATCCTGTTTACAAGGCTCAGCTGTCCCTGCAAGGAGCCTCAAGGAGGGCAGCAAAGCCACCTAGGAAAGCACTGGTTTTCTTAATTTGATTCTCCTTCTTAAAAACCAAAAAATAAGAGCCAAACCATCCCTCCATCTTCCTGCTCCTCCTGAAAAACCCTGGCCCCAACCCCCCTCCTATGATAAACACAAGCAATCTCCACCCCCCCCACCTCCTTTGTGGCTCCACCCTGCCCCTACCCACCTAGCTGCTCCTTCCTCTCCCCCACCCCTCACCACTTCACTGAGCCCCAGGGCTCACACTCTGCTGCCTGGATAGAAAATTTAGCCGAGGTTGAGAACAGCAAACAAAGGAGCGGCTGTGAGAACTGACAGCTCAAGGACTCTGGCATAGGGTCAGTCCTTGGAAGTGCTGGCAGGGCCCACCTTCCCGCAGGGCACCCCATCCATCTCAGAATGACAGAGGGCAAGGTACTGGTCCAGAGACCAACGAAGGAAGCAGCGGATACTGGAGAGAAGGGGCCTCCTCCAGCAACAAACTGTGGCAGAAGTAGAAGTGCCTGGGTCACAGATGTGGCAACACTTGGCATCAGTATTATCTCTAATATCTCTACAGAGTAATTCCCGCCCCAAAAGAAATAGAAATAGAAGAAGTGATGAGAAGGGAGAGAGGCAGGAGGAGAGGGAGGGACTAGAATTCTAGTTTTGGGAGCAAGTGTAATTACGAAAGGGCTACTCTGGAGAGAGATGAATCTGAGGTGCAATCTCAGGCTCATTTTTCAATCCCAGTTTCAGGGAACAGGATTCTCAGGTGAGGGCAGCCCTAAAAGCCTTCCACAGAGAGAGTGTGGTTGAGCGCATAGGCATCGCTATCCTCTTCCTCCAGAAGCAGCTTGTCAATGGTCAGGGAGCTGACGGTTCTCCTGGGGTCTTCCATGTCCTGAAGGACCGGCTCAGGGATAGAGATGGGGAGCTGAACAAACTGGGGCCCAGGCAGGGCTGGAGCCGGAGGCTGGTACTGTAGGGTGGAGGTAGGCAGTGTGGACAGGGGCTGAGGCCATGGGAAATAGGTGAGGGGTGCCTGGTGCTCCGGGCCCTCCAGCGGGGGTCCCACCGTGGGTGTGGCAGCGCTTCTGGCCTGTGGTGAAAGAAACCCAGGATGGATGGTTAGTAGATAGACCCTCACGAGGCTTCATCTCCATGCCCCTTTCCTGCCACCTTACTCCAGGGGCTCCATCTCCACCTCTTCAACACCCCGCAACCCCCACCCCCAGGAGGACTGCAGTGTCCCTACTCTGTCACACCAGTTATGTGTTCTTCTCCCCAGCCTCTGTTTTCTCTTCTGCAAAAAGGTCACAGGACTGAGTGAATTAGAGACGATTTTCCAGATTTCACTGAATATAAAATGCACCTGATTTCAGAGACATTAAAAGGGGGTGGCAAAGTCAAGGAAAATACTGCAAGTTAAACAAGGAGCCTGTCATATGCGTGGGGCCTGACCTACAGTGGCTGCTGACCTGCCCAGACACAAAGGCAGTCCTGGCTCCACACAGCTTGGGGTTCTGAGGTTCCCCAGGGCCAACACAGCTCCATTCACTCCCACCCACTCTGGTGGTGACCAGCACAGGGAGACCAGGCCAGACCTAGACAGAGGCTTGGGAAGGGCACTGTTAGTGCGTTCCTGTCAAGTGCCCGGAGCCTTTCAGGTCCTCATCCTCCTCTCCCTGAGCTGGTCCCCCATGGCCATCCCAGGGACCTCCAAAAGTCAGGGCCATTCTCCCAGATGCTCTACAAACAATACCTCCCACCTGCACAGCGACCACCCTGCAGACCTGAGGTCATGCCTGAGAGAGGCAGGGCCGAGATTCTTACTCTCTTCTTCTGAAGAGGAAAAGCTCTACAGGGAGCCATGTGAGAGAGGCCTAAGTCTGCTCCCCCCATCATATCTCTCCAGTCTCTGTCCCCCTACCCAAACCCCCATAACTGGAAAGTCAACTATTGGGAGTCATTTAGGGAAGAGCTTATTTCCAATTTGGGGGATCTTCTCAGGAGAACTCTGGTACAGAAGGTCCAGGGTGGGGCCTGGATTCTGCATGTGTGATCTAACCCAGTGACACCAGTGTGGCTGGTTCAGGAACCACAGTTTCAGTAGCAAGGCTTAGGGGTGCTTTTCTACAGAATGATAGAGCAGTTAAGAGTCTCAGAGACCTCTGGCATTCCCACCACACCCCTGAGGCTTATCTGAAGCATTTTTTAAATGCAAATGGAAATCATGCATTTTCTAGTCATGTACCTGCTGGGGTCAACTGCAGGTTGCATGGCTCAGGGGTGGAAGCCCATGGGCCGGGTGGTGTGACAGTTCAAACTCCCACTGCTCAGCAGTCCTAATTGGTAGCTCTAACCAACTTTGATGAGTTGATTTACAAATTGGCAAAACAAACACATTATTTCTTAATAAATACAGTTTGTTTGATACACAGACCCTTTCAAAGCAGGAGACGGGAATGATGAAAGGATAAATAATAAAAGGAATCCTTGGGAACTACTGAAATGGTGGGAACCATTTTGTCTACTATCCCCCATCCCCATTCCAGGCCCCCGATATGGAAATAAGTTGCCTGGGAAAGGCATTGAATTAGCCTCTTCATAACCACCACTACCCAGCCCCACAACTGGTTTTCAGGTAGTTGGGTGGGCATGAGGAGGAGGAGAGGCTCCCACAGGCCATGCCAGGGGTGTTGAAGGGCAGTCACATCATGATGGTTACACACCCTTGAGGAACCAAAGCAAGATCTACCATCAAGAAGGGGCCTCTGTGACAATTCCTGAGACCCCAGATCGCCTCCCAGTCTCCCTCAGACTGGAGCTGCATACAGCTACAACCATAGGATTTTTTTCCTCTGAACACTTGGGGGATTACCATTCCTTTGGTCAAGCAGGCACCAGTGACATAACACTATTTCGCTTCCTTCCTCCAGCTCCTTCCTTTTCCATTAGGCCCTTGATGTTGTTGGCTGCTTAATGCTGGCTGGCTTTGAGGTAATCACAGCATTTATTCAACACTTTCTCTATGCTGGGAACTACACTAAGCCCTCTACATGCATCATCTCATTTGATCTTGACATCGCCCCTCTTGCTACTATTGCCATTTTACAGATGAGAACAATGAGGCTCTGAGAAATTTAGTCGCTCAGCCCATGGCAACTTCATTAGAAAGTAAATGGACAAGGATTGGAATCCAGGCAATCTGATGCTAGAGGCAGAACTCAAAAAATTACCCTACAGGTGGATCTGACACATCAAAACAGTTTTCTGAAAAGCTATGTCACCTGTGGATCAGCTAGCCATCTGCTGGTGAATCACTCCTACATCATCTGAATGGAAAGGAGAGTGTGGATCTGGACTAGCCCCCTCACAGACCTCACCTAGAACCCCATTTGCTAAAAAATGTAGAATGAAAACCAAGGCGCACTTATTTCGAGGCAGCAAGGGGTTCAGGACGAGGTTGGAGAAGACCTTAACCCTGAGGGCAAAGCATGACAGGGAGACAATAGCCTTCTTCATGGAAGATATTCCAGGTCCACAGCAATAAGAACAGACCCCTCTATAAGATGGAGCAGGCTTAGATGACCTGATCATCCTGGGACTCCATAGCAAGGAAGATCAGGGGTCAGGAAGTCTGCCCAGGTTCAAAAAAAGGGTGTCTTGGGACAAGGGGAGGAGGGTTGCAGCTCTGCCTCTGTGTGACATACCGTGACGTTAGTGATGAGCGGCTGGGAGGCGTAGGTCAGCACTGAGGAGGGCCCCACCACGGTGTAGCTGGGGCACACGGGCTGCACGTACATGTCAGTTGAGTAGGGGCAGCTGACAGCTTCATGGGACACATACTCGGTATACGGTGTCCATGGGGCCAGGGGCTGGAGGGTGGCCGGGGCAGGCTGGGAGAGCCAGCCAGCACACAGGGCCCCCTCCTCCGTCACTGTGGAAGCAGAGACGTCCATGTCAAGACAGGAAGGACCTGTGGAAAGAAGGAAATGACAGGGCTACAGGTGCTGCCTGAAAGCGGGCCCAAGAGGAGTTGAGGCCTGGGGGATCTCTTACCCACTGTGGTGTAGGTCGCCAGGGGCTGATGAGGCAGCACCACCTGGAGGGGAGATGAGAAGACCAGGATCAGGGTTTAGCCCTCTGCGGAGAACCTGCCCAGATTGAGCAGGAGTATAGAGGGGGGGTCTCTCCTGTTAGAAAAAAACACCTGCCCTCTGGAGGAATTTGTTTCCATTTAGCAAGAATCCACCCCACATAGCAAGAGGAAGAGGCCTAGCCTCTTCTTCCAGAGGGAGCCCTAATTCACACCAGGATGCACAGGTGATGCTCACTTGGGCTCTAGCAGTAACTGTTCGATGGGCAAATCCAGCCCACAATCCTTCATCCCATTTTAAGGGACCTCCAATTTGTCTTGCCTGGGTCCTTTCTCCAGCAACCATACCCAGGGAAACTTGTCGCCTTCATGCCCTTTGTGAGTATCTGTAGAGTAAGGAAGTCTACATACCTGGTCCCTAAGGGCACCCCCCACATACACACACACACAGCCCACAGCAGCCCCCCTCACCGCTGTAGGTGTAACTGGCGCCCCGCTGCTGGCATGGCCGCGCTTCCTTCTCAGCAGCTCCTTCACTGGCTCTTTCACACGGACACCCTGATACGGTCGGGGTGGGGCTGGGGCCTGTTCTGGAGCTGTGGCTGAGAAAAGCAAAGTCACGGTGTTCATCTCCCTTCTTAGACAAGCCCCCACCCTTAAGTGCCCCCTCTCCTCAAGGATGTCTGCTCACCCACATCACACCTGACCATGGAGGGCCACAAGATATTTTCTGGAATATTCCTGCCAGTACTATTACTATTCCTGCCCCAAACCATCCATGGCTGCCCCCCACACTAACAAGTGAAACCTGGCTCTTTAGCCCAGAATTGAAAACCCTCTATAACACGGTCTCAATGCATTTTCCCAACCACGTGGCATGCTGACATGACATGAACCCTGACTCCTGCCACAGGTCTATCTAGATTTATCTACATGTGCCTTGTGTGTCTCACCTCCTCCTCTCTACTTGAGAGGTGAGGAAGCACTCTTTTCTCATCCTCTTGATTCCCCCTGGCCCAAGACAAGCGCAGCCCTCCTGGCTCACCCCTGAAGTCCACAGAATTCACTTCTTTTAAGCGCTAAAACACTTTCAGTCCCTTTCAGTGTCATCACAGGGGGCAGTAGAGCATGGCATAAGAGCAGGGACTTCAACTTAAACGGCATGGGCTTCAAATCCTGCCCCCAGCAGATTCTAACTGTGTGACCCTGGACAATTTAAGTGTCTCTGTCTTCACCTATACTTCTTTTTCAATCCGAGAAATGTTGCAAGGACTCACAGATATAGTCAACGGGAAGCATCGTATAGGCTTAGTGTAAAATCAGATCTAGAGTAAGTATTCAGCACACTTTCAGTCTGCAAGGCTGTGATTAGTTATCCTTTTTATTTATTTATTTTTTAAGGATTTATTTATTTATTTATGCAAGCACTAGGTATAGTCAGAAGCACGGGAGGGTGAGAGAATTCACCAGAGCCAGAGCAGGGAGCAGAGCAGGCAGACTGATGAAACACACTGCTGAGGGGAGCTGCGGGCAGCAAGAGAGGTCTGTCGCGCCATGTGGGACTCTTGCTGGCGGCCGGGGATCGAACTGTTGCTACAGAGGTTGTGGGCAGCCTCGCAACCCAGCGCTCAAACGCTGCGCCACCAGGGGAGGCCCTAGGCCCTTTTTAGTGTTCATTTCTGATTCCTCTAACTAGATTACACGCTTCTACAAGTCAGCTACAGTACCATATTTCCTTACATCTTCTCTGGTGTCATATTCATAACAAATTTAGTAAGTGATCTGTTGATTACTTAACTGAATGAATAGTTAAAATGTGTTGCCATTTGTCTTCCTTTCACCTCCCCTGGACCTTTAGAAAGAGCTGACGTGAGTCACTGCCACATTCTCTGTGGACAAAGACCCAGTGGTGATCCATGAGCCCTGGGCCAGCAGTGTCCCAGCTTGCTGCTAAGAGGAGGTGTCCTCTGCCTTTTGTCACCAAAGCCAAGAAACCCAAACACCAACCTGGAACACAGGGCTCTTTTGAAGCAGAGCAAGCAAGTCAAAAGTATCCATGGCCGGGCAGTGACAGCCAGCCCCCAAATGGCCCACAGGCTCAGGTCTGCACCCTTGGAGGGCAGCTCTGGGTCAGTCAAGAGTGGCAAGAAGCACTGGCGCTTAAGACTCACAGGGAGAGTCCATTATCATTCACTGATAAAGGCCCTGGGGCACTGAATCAGAAGCCGGAAGCCTGGATATCTATTAACTCCAGATCTGCAGTCCTTCTGTGGCCAAACTTTGCTCAGTAAATACCCAGCAGATAAGGTCCCAGGCCTCATTCAGCACCAGACCTTCATTCATGATCCAGTGCACAGCCCACCTGGTGTGGAAGCCGGGCCGGCAGAGAGCAGTGGCAGGAGGTGTGAAGTATGTCCAAGAGTCCAGGAATACATGGTGTGAGCCAGTGAACCCCAGCACCGCACACTAGACTAGAAGCATCTGCAGGGGGGTTCCTAACCTGGACAAGCAGCAAAATCAACCAGAGGATGACACAAAATACAGATACCCTGGCTCTGCTCCTGGAGAGTCTCATTCTAGGGGTTTGATGCAAGCCTAAATCCCTCGGGGAAATCTGTAGCTGGGCTAGGATTTGAACCACTGAAAACTCATCCCTGATCTAATGCAAGAACTCTTCCTATAATATCCCGATAGGAGGTTAATTCATAACCAGGGATCTCCACTGCCAGTCATCTCTGTTTCTCCTAAGTATCCCTCAGCATGAGGCTTACAGCGCTGCACAAGATAGACGCAGCCCCTGACACATTTGCATCAATTTAGTGGGGGGCGAAAAAAAGAAGAAAACAGCGAGACTGAGGCAGAGAGCCAGCCTGGCACCTGCGACCTGGGAACACTGTTCAGGATCAGCTTTGTTCTAAGTAGCAGTGACAGTTGACTTGAGAGCCAAAACTGCCATCTATCACTTCCTCAGATTTATTGAACATGCTGGGCCTCCATTTCCTCATCTGTAAAAGGAGGATAATTATTTCAGTCTCACACAGCTGTTGTGAGGATTGACTGAAATATCACATGGGAAGCCCCCAAAGCCAGACCCAGCCTAAGGAGCCATTCCAAGTGTGCATTTCCCTCACCTCCCCCCGCCAGCATCCACTATCCTCTGAAGAGCAGGAATGGACCTGCCTCGTGGTAACAACATGTTTCCTTGCACTACTTTCTAATGAAACTCACCATTCATAATCCATTGACAGATTTCTTGTCTATAAAATTAGGATTAAAGTGATTCATGCAGCATAGGGCAATTTGAGACTTAGAAGCAAATGCTTACAGTGAGTTTGCACTGAGTGAGCCTAGAATAAACTTGAGCTAATATTTTCATTGGTATTAGCAGTAGCATCTTTCCAGCATCTGACAACAGATACCAATCCCTTGTAGAGTCTATATAAACATCCATTCCTTCAGCTACTTCTCAATTCTGTTGGGAACCTTCCTTCTGGCTGCATCACTCAGGCACAAAAGTCAATTTGCCATAGCATGGGTGCTGCCCGCTGCTGATCACACACCCCAGGTGTGCCTGGCATGGCAGAGAACAGAGGGTCCTGGCCTCCCACACTTCACACTCTCTCATTCTCAGGGTCACGAAGGCCACATAAGCTGCATGCACACCCATGTCACTGAACCTGTTGTTTCCGACTTAGTTTCCAGTTTTTCCTTAAGCACCAAGTATAGCCTGAGGCATTGTCTGCTCTTGGAGAAACTCTGGAGACTGAGTTATTTGGAGGGTCTGAGTGCTGTGGTCGCACTCTTAATTCAGGTACGGGACAAGGAAGGCTCAAACTTCAATGCACACATCTCAGACCAGGTCAGACAACTCTATGGCTAGTGCCCTTCTGATCTGCATCTAGAGTATTCCCAATCCCACTGCATCCCAGGATGTGGACAAATGTATATATCACTTGGCCGCAAAGGGGCCAGCCGGGCATTTCCAGGATCTTGTCAAAGGAGGACTTCTACCCTTCTGCTGTTTTTGAATCAAGGAACAAAGCCGACTTGGGGGAGGTGCTGTGAGCTGAAGACATCACCCTCTGATGTCTGGACTTCCGTGGCACTCACAATGTCAACAGGTGTGCCCTGGCACCATGGCCATATGGAGAGCAGTTTCTAATCCCCACCTCTGCTGTCACAAAACCCCCAAAGAGCTGCCGATCTCCCAGCTCCTCCCCCTACCCCCAGCTGCAAAAGAATCTTGTAAATGATCCCAAGTAGGCAAGAGGGAGGGTGAAGGAACACAAACTGATGCCTCCAGGCCATTTCCAGTAGTGCCCAACAGTTGTGTGGTTTTGCCAGGGAGAAACTTTCAGTGAGTGCCTTTCCAGCCAACCTATGGGAAGCAATGATACACATTTCTATTCTGACAGTAAAGTGGAGTCCCTATTGCCACCAAGGTGAGAAATGAGCCCATGAATACAAATCTACAAGAGGAAAGAGGTTTGTCTGAAAACCATGACTGCTTTACCGTGGGACTTCTGAGTCCCTGAATCAAGGTAGCTTTAAAGCAACTATACTAACCTATTTAAAAGAACATTTTTTAATTATTAAAATAATTGTTAAATAATAATAATAGCCAAAGAAAATAAAACAGGAGTTGAAATAATAATACACAAAGCAGAGAAGATGCAAACCCAATTTCCCAAAGTAGAGATGACCAGAGATTTTAATACCCCCTGCTGAATTGCAATGCCAGGTAACAAGCCCTCCAAGACTGAAGTTTTCTCACCGTTTATCCTGTGTTTGAAGGCCCTTTAAAATTTGTGAGGCCATCCAAGTGTGCATAGCAGGGGAAAGTCTTCCCACCTACATATGAGCCTCTTGGCCCTCGTTGGGAATCTCCTTTTTCAGGATGAGATGTTCAGCCATATTACCTTCCATACCATGGAAGTCAGTCACCAATGGGGTTCAGGAAAAAAGTAAAACTCATTTACCGGGCCTCCCCTGGTGGCGCAGCGGTTGAGCGCTGAGCTGTGGGGCTGCCCACAGCCTCTGCAGCACCGGTTCATTCCCCAGCCATCGGCGAGGGTCCCACCAAAAAAAATAAAAAATAAAAATATAACTCATTTACAGAAAAAACCATGAATTGGCCTCAGTGAGTGCCTCAATTTTCCAAAATGAGCAATGAAAAAAATATGAAGGCATAAAAAGTCAGAGAGGACATTTCAGTTTCCCCTATTGCCCACCTGGATGTGTTCCACATTACAAAAATAAGAATCCTGCAGCTGCTGTCCCACTGGAGAGCACAGACCATGGTAGATTCAAGCCAACTGGTCACCCCAGGCAGCACTCTGGCTACGTGAGGGCATTGTGCTAGCTTTGAATGAAGTTTAGGGAGACTCTGGGTTCTATTGATTTAAATAAACATGGTTCTCCAGTTCCTTAATGAAGGTATAATACATTTCACTGAGAAAATATGCAAAATTGTCAGCACCTATTTACTTCACCATGGAAACCACATTGACGCCACAGTGATGAAGCTACTTGGCTAAGGAGGTAAGTCCTCCTAATGGCTCCTAGGACGGACCTAAGTCCTTGGCCAAGTAGCAGAGCTGAC